GAACTCCTGAGCTCAAACAATCCGCCCACCTCGGCCTCCCAGAGAGCTAGGATTACAGGCGTGAGCCACCATGCCCGGCCTCAGGCTGGTCTTGAACTCCTGGCCTCAAGCAATCCTCCTGCCTCGGCTTCCCAGAGTGCTAGGATTACAGGCATGAACCACTGCACCCAGCTGGGGATCTTGATCTTGGTGATCCTGGGCCACCGAATCAGCCCTCCTCTTCCTCATTCCTGCCCCCACCATTTGTCCAGCTGTCTCACAGCCCTCAGGACAGGACCGCTCTGTTTCATTGTTAGGAAACTGCACTCAGGCTCTCAGAAGCCCCCAAACAGGGTCCCTCAGCCCCTACCAGGCCAAGTTGGTCCTGTCCTGGGAGGGTCGTGACCCAGTCCCAGGGCCATTGAGGAAAGGAGTGGCAGCCCTGGCTCCAGGTGTCCCGATGCCAGGCTGCTCATCTGATGCCTCTCCTGATGCCACCCCGCCTGGGCTGCTCCTGGCACTGGAGACCATACTGGCCTCGGAGGATGATCGAGCTCCCCTGCCAGGGGCTAAATCTGGGAACTGGCTGCTGTGCGTCCTGGCCCTGCCACTCCACCTCTGGCGCCTGGTGGGGAGGCCCCTTCTTGACCTTCAGGGATCGGCTGCCATGGTCAGTGGGGCCAGGGCAGCGGTGGGTGGGCTGGGGCTGGAGCTGGGGCATGCTGGTTTTCCTGGGGAGGGGGCAGCTGGGCTTCTGGACTCTGCCCCAGCAGGGACAGTCCTTGGGCCTGTGAGGGAGTGGGAGGTTGGAGGGGGCAACAAGGGGGCCAGAGCTGGGCTGCTGGGAGTAGAAGGGGCAAGGAAATGGACAGATGGCAGCGGCCACCTGCCCCTGGAGCCCTCTGCCCATGGGCCTGCCCCTCCTAGGCTCTGCCAGGCTGAGCCCACTGGGGCAGGAAGCCTGTGGGTGCGGAAGCCCTATCCTCAGATGCTGCCCCTCGGCGAACCTCCGGCTCCCTTCCTGTAGACAGACGGGGGAGGCGCTGGGGACCACCTGGCCGCAGTCTGCGGTCTCCAGCTTGCTTGTCTGGCTCTGGGTTCCGGGAGCATCCTGCCACTACCACCAGGAAGACCCCGTCTCTGACCTCCCTCCTTCCTGCTCCCCAGTCCCACCGGAAGTTTTCCGCCCCTCGGCACGGACACCTCGGCTTCCTGCCCCACAAGAGAAGCCGCCGGCACCGGGGCAAGGTGAAGACATGGCCGCGGGACGACCCCAGCCGGCCTGTGCACCTCACGGCCTTCCTGGGCTACAAGGCGGGCATGACCCACACCCTGCGTGAGGTGCACCGGCCGGGGCTCAGTGAGTCACAGTGGCGGGGACACCTGCCGGGGGGGTGGAACCTTCCAGATGCCATGAGCCAGAATTCACTCTCCTGGTCCAGGAGGGGCCACAGTCCCAGCAAGGCTGAGGCCCTGCCCACAGGAATCGCAGCCAGCACAGCACCCGGATCCACACTGGCCTTTAGTGTGGTTCTGTCATTGCCCCTGTTGACAAGTGGGGAAACCAAGGCACAGAGCAGTCACGAGACTGGCGCAAGACCAGGTGGTGAGCGGAGGAGCTGGATTCAAGGGCAGGCGCCCCAGACCTGGCTTTAAGCCACCTGCCAGGATGTCTGCACCTTTGGTCATTTCTGGTCTATTTCCTATCCTGGTGCTTCATATATACATATTTATATAGAAAGTTTGGTTTTTGTTTTAATCATAGATTCACTTGTAAGAAATAACACAGAGGAATCCCATGGACTATCCCAGTTCCCACCATAGAAACATCTCGAAAGACTCTAGTAACACATCACCACCCGGAGGCTGATGTGGACAGGCTACCCTCTCGTGCATGTTTTCCCAGTTCTCACGCACCCATTCGCATGTGCGTGTTGGTATATTAAGTCCTTTTTTTTTTCTTGAGATAGGGTCTCACTCTGTGACCCCACGTAGAGTGCAGTGGTGTCATCATAGCTCACTGCAACTGCAAACTCCTGGGCTCGAGTGATCCTCCTGCTTCAGCCTCCCAAGTAGCTGGGACTGCAGGCTCCACCATGCCTGGCTAATTTTTCTATTTTTTGTACAGAGGGGGTCTTGCTATGTTGCCCAGGCTGGTCTCAAACTCCTGAGCTCAGGTGATTCTCCCCCCTCGGCCTCCCAAAGGGATTATAGGCTGGAGCCACTGCTGGAGGCCCTAATATATTTTTTGAACATGTACTTCTTTCACTTAAGGCCGGGCTAAGCAGTGATACCCATGAAATCGTTGGTTTTGGACTAGTCCTAAGGCTTGCTAGAACTTACAAAAATACATTTATATATTATACATATATTTTATACATATAAAATACATTAAAATAACAAATGCTTATTTGGGCTCCAGTGAAGGAGGCCCAGCCTCGCTCTGAGGACACTGCCTGGCTGCTGGCCTGGCCCACCCTGCGTGGCTGGCTCTTCCCTCCCTTCCCCATTGTCCTCAGGGGGACCCTCTCCATGTCCCTGTCCCTGCGTGTCATCTAGAGATTTCCAAGCGGGAGGAAGTGGAGGCAGTGACAATTGTGGAGACGCCGCCCCTGGTGGTGGTGGGCGTGGTGGGCTACGTGGCCACCCCTCGAGGTCTGCGGAGCTTCAAGACCATCTTTGCGGAGCACCTCAGCGATGAGTGCCGCCGCCGCTTCTACAAAGACTGGTGAGCGCTGCCCGTGGGCGGGCTTGAAGCCCCAGCTCTGCGCTGAAACAATGGGGGCAGGTGGACAGGCGGAGAGGTGTCAACAGTGTGTGGAAGATAGGAAAGTGTGGTGTGGTGTGGTGCCTTCACCTCCGTAACAGTTGAGTACTAGAGGGCTGGAGAGGAAATCAGGATTGAGGAGAAAAAGGAAACAGATATTCTAATCCTTATAGGGTTAATTAAAGGGCTGATTTGATGGAATGTTAGAATTGGCTGTGAGCTTCCTAGCAGCCAGGGTGAATAGGAGAACCAGCCAACTGAAAAGCTCTTGTCATAGAAAGATATTCTCAGACCTTAAATCTTCCCTGGCCCCAAGTCCTGAAAAGGAAGGGCAAGCCGGCTGACCCCTTGAGTCCCTCCGCTGTGAAGTGGGGCTAGGAGTGTTCCCTGGGCTTTGGTGGCCGCTGCGAGGACCGGCTGAGTGAAGCCTGTCGGGTGCTCAGCGCAGAGGAAGCAGCCGGTGCACGCCGGTGTCCTTCACTGCGCTGTCCCTGCTGCCAGTCTGCCCTTGCCCAGGGCCTTGGACTGCTGTGAAGCCTCGCTCTTCATCTGTAGGGTGGGATGATAATTTCCACCTCCCAGAGCTCCGGCGACGGTTAGAAATGATGGTCCCGAGCCTAAGGCCTTGTGCATGGCCATCAGCGGTCTGAGAAATGTGGCAGCCGGGGCCGCCTCCGGGAGCCTGGCCCGCAGGGCTGACCAGCAACTCCGCTCTGGCAGCTTCTTCGCGTCTGCCACTCACTCCCGGGCCCCCCACTTTACAGAGGAGGAAACTGAGGCCCAGAGAGAGATGGTCTATGTTCAGAGCTGGTGACCAGAACGGCCCAGGGGCCTCAGGGGAGGCCCCAGCAGCGGGACCCCTGCTTCATGGGCTACGGGTGGGGAGGGGGCAGGACGGGCCCTGGGAGCTTGCCCCACTGGGGCCCCGAGCACCCTCCTGTGCGCGTTGGTCAGGCACAAGAGCAAGAAGAAAGCCTTCACCAAGGCCTGCAAGAGATGGCGGGATGCCAGCGGCAAGAAGCAGCTCCAGAAAGACTTTGCCGCCATGAAGAAGTATTGCAAGGTCATTCGGGTCATTGTCCACACCCAGGTCAGTCCCCACCCCCAGCTGTCGGCCAGTCCACCTCCTGGGCCCACCCTCCCCCACCCCAGCTTCCAGGAGCCCTGGCAAATGTCAGCCTAAAAATACCATGGGCCGCGGGCACAGGCCCAAAGGGCTGGCTGGCTGGCAGCGGTGCTGGCCACGCACAGCCCCAGGATGAGGTGGCGAGTGTCCGTGCATTCCTAGGGGCTGTGGCGCATCAGCCATGCCCAGTGGGCAACTAAGGCCCTGAAATGCCCTGCAGGGCCTGGGTCTCCCACCAAATGTCCAGTGTGGAGGGCCAGCCACCTCCCTTTGGGTTCTGGCACAAACGTGTAAATCAGTGTTCGTATCCCGGGCTAACAGGTGACTAACATCCTCTGGCTTATTCTGGAATACTCCTTGGCATCTTGTCCTCAGGAAGGCATCCTTAGGCCCCCGGAGCAGCGAGCTCCCCCGGCCCAGAGTCTCCCACATGCGCTGAATACACACTGCCCCGTCACGCTCACACTGGCAGCCCTTGGTTGAGCGAGTCACTGGCTAATGCCCATCTCCCGCAGCAGACCTGAGCTCCCCAGGGTAGAGGCCGTGGGGCAGGGACCACAGCTGCCTTGTTCACTGCTGGGCCCCCAGCACCCACCAAGAGCCTGGTATGCAGTAGGTGCTCCATAAATACTTGTTGAGCATTATGCTGTGATCTAACTGGTCTGTTTCCACCTGTTCATCCCATAGCCTGAGCCGCACGCAGCATCAGCCAGAGATGTTTAAAATAAAAATCAGGTCATGTCACACCCTGCACCTGGAAGAAAGCCCGAGCTGCTCCCCACAGGACCTGCCCGGCCCCCCCACCCTCCTTGCTCACCACCATCCAGCCACACTGTTCCCCTTTCCTACCCACCAACTCGCCACCATCTTCCCTGCCACCGGGCCTTTGCATGTGCTGTCCCTCTGCTCAAAAGGATCTCAGATCCTCGCCTAGTGGTTCCTTCTTGTTATTGGTGTCACCTCCTCAGAGAGGCCCTCCCTGAGCTGACCACTCTATCTGCAATGCCCCTCACCGACCTTCCGTCAGAGAACTCAGTCCTCTCTGGGAGTTTACTTGGCTTGCATCTGTCCCCCAGCTAGACAGTGGCTCCCTCAGGTGTTGGACCCCGTCTGTCTCATTCCATGCTGTGTCCACAGTCCCTGCACAGCACGCAGCACACACCCAGCTCACGGGAACATCCATGAATGAATTCATGCATGAAAGATCTGCGGGGTCACCGGCTGGGTGCGACCCTTTGGGAACTGACCAGCGTGCCATATCCTGCAGATGAAGCTTCTTCCCTTCCGGCAGAAGAAGGCCCACATCATGGAGATCCAGCTGAACGGTGGCACGGTGGCCGAGAAGGTGGCCTGGGCCCAGGCCCGGCTGGAGAAGCAGGTGCCGGTGCACAGCGTGTTCAGCCAGAGTGAAGTCATTGATGTCATTGCTGTCACCAAGGGCCGGGGTGTCAAAGGTAGGGGGTCACTGTGGATGTTGGCTCCAAGGAAGGCTGCCTGGAGGCAGTGGGGACCAGACCGGCCACTTAGCCACTGGCCCCTCCCAATTGCAGGGGTCACAAGCCGCTGGCATACCAAGAAGCTGCCTCGGAAGACCCACAAAGGGCTGCGCAAGGTGGCTTGCATTGGCGCCTGGCACCCTGCCCGCGTGGGCTGCTCCATTGCCCGGGCTGGGCAAAAGGGCTACCACCACCGCACTGAGCTCAACAAGAAGGTGCGTCCGCAGCCTGGGGTCGGGGTGGCGGCTGTCGCTGTGTGATCAGACCCTAGCGGGTGGGGTGCATGACCCAGACACTGCCTGGGTCACAAAATGCCCCCACCAGCGAGCTCGTGTGCTGATGGGCCTGGACGTGCGGCTGGCTCCAGAAGCCACCTCTGGCCCTCTTTTCCTGGCAGATCTACCGCATTGGCCGGGGGCTGCACATGGAGGACGGGAAGGTGGTCAGAAACAACGCGTCCACCAGCTATGACATCACCGACAAGTCTATTACACCGCTGGTGAGGGTGGACAGCAGCCTGGCCAAGGGGGCCCGGCATGCATGTGGAGGGCAGGCCCAAGCCCCAGCTGGGTGTGACCCTGCCCAAGAGCTCGAGATCTGTGTCCCAAGCATTTGGCTGCAGCCACCTAGGTGGACCAAATCCCTGCTGTTTCCCGAATCTTCCAAGCCTTCCCTGGAGGCAGTATACAACCAGCTGTTGTTCCAGGGTGTGGAGGGCAGCAGCTGCTGCTCTGGCCTGGGAGTCAAACCCCAGCTCCAGCACATAGCAGCTACAGAGCCTGGAGCAGGTGACTCCACCGCTCTGAGCCTCAGTTTCCCCTCCAACAAAAATGCAGGTTGTTAAATTAGATAATGCAGGAAAAGGACCTAGTGTGTGACTCACATGCTGCCCTCATTAGTGATGGATCATGAAGGTGTCACCTCCACACCTGGGGCTGGGCATGGGGCTCCTTCCACTCACAGCCCCGTGTGGGGAATTTTCCTAGGGCTCCCAGCCACCCCCTAAGTGGGCAGCCCTTTCCTGGGCCTGGCCGCTCACCTGTCTCCTATGCAGGGAGGCTTCCCCCACTATGGGGAAGTCAACAACGACTTCGTCATGCTAAAGGGTTGCATCGCAGGTACCAAGAAGCGGGTCATTACGCTAAGAAAGGTCAGCACGGAGGGGTGGGCTGCTGGGGCTAGCCTATCCTGCCCTCCAGCCTGCTGAGGGGGGTTGGAGGGTGCAGGGGAGGTGGGAGCAGAAAGGGAGGGGTCTGGCAGGAACTGGGTGAGCAAGACCTTGGTGCGGACTGGAGTGACAGGAGGGGGTGGGGTGGGCTCCGCCTGATGCTGGCCTCTCCCATGGATCCCCAGTCCCTCCTGGTGCCCCACAGCCGCCAGGCCCTGGAGAATATTGAGCTCAAGTTCATCGACACCACCTCCAAGTTTGGCCACGGCCGCTTCCAGACAGCACAAGAGAAGAGGGTCTTCATGGTGAGCCCCCACCCAGCCTGCCTCGGAGTAGGGCGGCTGGAGCAGAGGGCGGGCAGGGGAGGGGGTCTCGGGCACTGATTCCGCTGGGAGAGAAGGCCCGGGGGACCCCGCAGGCTGGCTAGGGGGCAGCGTTCCTGGCCACACTCTTGTCACTAACGCTCCTCCCGCGCCCCCCAACCAGGGCCCACAGAAGAAGCATCTTGAGAAGGAAAAGCCGGAGAGCTCAGGAGACTCGTAGGCTGCCTGCGCGGGACGGGTGGTCCCTGCAGCGGCGCCCCGCCTGCCCTTCTGTCCAATAAAGGCCCGAGGCCCCTGTTCCCGCGCCGTCTCAGAGGGTCGGGGCGCGGACAGAACTAGTGGGAAGCAGCTCTGCGGGTGGCGCGCCACCCCCAACCTGGCCCTGGCCCACGTGCGCCCTCTGCCCGCCAGCCGCGGGGTGGCTTCCCGGCCAGGCACGAGGGGGGCGGGGCTCCCGGGCGGCAGGGGGCGGGGCCTCGGGGAAGCTGCCCGAGAGTGGTCCTTGGGAGTCACGTCACCCATCGATGGGCGGGGCCTGCAGGGAAGACGGGCTAGGGCCGGCCTTTGGAGGGGCGGGGCCTCGGGGAAGGGGCCCGGGAGTGGTCTTCCGGAGCTACGTCGCCGATGGGCGGGGCCTGCAGGGAATTCGCGCTAGGGCCGGCCCCCGGAGGGGCGGGGCCTCGGGGAAGCGGCCCGGGAGTGGC